CCACGCCCTCCAGCTTGCAGTAGTTGATGGTGTAGGTGGCGTTGATGAGAGTCATCTTCTTCCTGTAGACTTTGCCAACGTCGAAGTCCTGGGGAAACCGAGGAGCCGTCACCGGGAGCCTCCCGGGGCTGCGTCAGCGCGTGGGGGGGGCTGGGGAGGCCCCTGTGCCGCCTGGAGGGCCACACGCGGGACGGGACGAGCGTGGCGACCGTCCTGGTACTTCCCAAGGTGGCCCCTCGGTGTCGCGTGGGGAGCAGGGCGCNACAGTGCAGGGCCCAGGGCTGGGGTGACGTCCTGCAGAGACCGAGGAAAACCCACCCCGTCCTCGCTCTCCCTGCCACGCGACGCGTGGAAGCCACACCCCCTCCGAAGGAGGCCTGAGCCCTCCCAGGGTTGGCGTCTGACCCTCAGAGGAGAGGAGCCCGTCACCCGAGCAGCAGGCGAGGACGGCGGTGCTGTGTCCCTCCCCTCCGGCCCGGGCCCCCGGCTCGCCTTGAAGTGGACCAGCTTGGGCTTGCAGTTGAAGGGACAGCCTTTGAACTCGCGCCCGGACACCACCTGCTTGTGGATGACCCCGCTGCGCAGCCGCTCCATGGCGCGGCCCAGGATGTCTTTGTCCATCTTGGTCCCGTGCACGGGCTTCCGGTCCACGTCCTCTTTGGGCACCTGGGGATTCACAGGGACAGTGGCCTGGGCTGGGGAGCACGGCCCCGCCGGGGGAGGGCTCCCTGCTCAGGCCCCAGGGCGCTGGGGGCAGCAGTTAACAGCACCGAGGGGCCCGGGCGGCCGGGGCAGAGGGGGATGCGCCCCGTGATTGCGGCAGGTCGCCAGGGAGCCCGGCGTGGGCAGGGCGGGCAGTCTCTGCAGAGAGAAAACACAGAACCGGCCAGGATCCCTGCAGACCTCTGGGAAATAACAGCAGTTTGGGAATTTTCTACATTTTACTACCAGCCCGGGAAGCAGCTTTCGAGAAGTTCCACAGGGAGCCACGTTTCCCCAGCGGCCTCCCCGACACCTGCCCGAGGCCGGTCCCGGGTCCCCTTGATCCAAGTTCTGAGAGTCCATTCGGGACCCTGGCTAGGTGGGCAGGTGCTGACACCGGCCAAGAGGCCGGGTGCCCTGCTGCCCTCGCTATCCCGGGTGGGGGCCCCGGCCCGACGGCCTGTCCTCAGGAGCCCACCACCCCGGGATGACCAGTGCTCCGGACGGAGCGTTTTCCTTGGAAAAGGCTCTTGAAGGAAGTGTTGAATGTGTGCCCTTTTCTGGAAACATGTTTCCCGAAGACCAAGCAGAATAAAATTAGGAATCGTCCCGACCCTCGAACCCCTGACTGAGTCCCGCTGTGTGTGGCCAACCACTGAGGCTGGGGCGAGGGCTGGGGCCGCCGTTCCCACGGAGGCTCTGGGGGCGGAGAGAGGAGGTTTGGGGGAGGGAGGCAGCTGGGCAGCGGGGAGAGTCCTCGGCACAGCGGCTGTGGGCCAGGCCTGACCAGGGCTCGGGGCAGGGAGGGCACCCGGGAGACGGAGACGTCCGTCCAACCGCAAGCGGCTTCGACATATGAAAGCAGGTACCTGGTGCGACTTATAATCCTTGTTCCAAAGCCCGGAGATCTCTGGCTCGGCCAGTGTTTGGTCGTCCCAGTTGGCATTCCCGGTGTCCCCCTGGGTGGACTCCATGGACACGGCTGGGGTCAGCCCCACGAACGGACCGTTGCTGCTCTCCTGGCCAGGAGGGGACACAGCTCAGCGCCGGAGCCGGGACCCGGCGCACCAGCGGGACGGAAGGGAAGTCGCGGGGACCTGGCTCTTTCACTTCCCTGCAGACCAGCCACCCCGCGTGGTAAGTTTCTCCATTTAAAATACAGTATCGCCCGGCCGGGCGCGGCTCAGCGGTTGAGCATTGACCTAGGACCTAGGAGATCGCGGTTTGGTTCCCGGTCAGGGCGCAGGCCTGGGTTGCGGGCTCGATCCCCAGTCGGGAGCGTGCAGGAGGCGACCAATTGATGTGTCTCTCACATCGACGTTTCTCTCTTTCTCTCCCCCTTCCACTCTCTGAAAAAGTAATGGAAAAAATATCCTCGGGTGAAGATTAAAAATAAAAAAATAGCCCAGCCAGGCGTGGCTCAGCGGTTGAGCGTCAACCTAGGATCCAGGAGATCGGGGTTCGATTCCAGGTCAGGGCACAGGCCCGGGTTGCGGGCTGCAGCCGATCAATGACTCTCTCATCATTGATGTTTCTCTCTCTCTCTCCCCCTCGCCTTTCCTCTCTCTGAAATCAATAAAGATATATTTAAAATAAAATAAAATAAAAAATAAATAAAAAATAAAAAATAAAAATAAAACGCAACATTCATATCTGTTCATCGCTGCGCATTTTTCTCCGGTCCCCACGGGGACCCTCTCCCTGGCAGCTGTGCCGTATCCCCCCAGCCAGTGGCTGCTCGGTGTTTCTAGTTTTCCCTTAAAACACTGCGCCTGGAAAAGCCCTCGCGGCTGACGGGACAGAGCGCAGGCTGCGTGCCAGATGGGGTGTCAGAGAAGTCAGGGTGCAGGTGGAGGGGCCCCCAGGAAACGGGGCGGGGCAGCTGGTCAGCGGCTGCTGGAGGGGGCGCTGGCAGGCGCCTGTGGGCTGAGTCTGAGCCTGGGAAACGGGAAAAGACCTAAACTGCAGGTGGAGCAGAGCGAAGCCCCCGCAGGCCGGAGAGGAGGCCCCAGGGGTGTTGCTGGCAGCTGCTTGTTGAAGCCGGTGACCTTGACCTTCAGGTGCTGGAGTCACAACAGTCACAAAGCAGAACCCAAAGTGCCAAGCCCGGCTCAGGAGGGGCTCCCGCGTCCCTGCCCCACACCCTCAGGGACAGGTAAGTGGGCAGCCTACAGGCGGCTGGCACAGAGCCGGCCACAGTGAATGGGTGGATGGATGGATGGACGGACGGACGACCGAGGGACAAGCTGCCCACCTCAGATGGTTCAGCCTTTGGCCCCAGGTATCAACCTGCATGTGGGCGAATGGAGCACAAGTCTGCCCTGGCCTGTGCCTGACCTTCGGTCTGGGCCTCTTACCCGGGGACACGTAAGGTGGCCTGAGCAAGTGGCTCCCGTGGCTGATGAGGGCAGTGACCTGGGTCTCATCCCTGTGCACCTGAGCTATCGGTCAGGCCAGGCCAGCTCCCAGGTGGACACCATGGGGCCTGTTGCCCACCTGCTTTGAACATGAGCCCTGACACTACCCTAAGTCCCACAGAAAGAACCACGGGGGCATCAGAACACGTCCCCCCCACCTGCTGGGGCTGCCTGCTGGGGACTCGAGCCAGGATGCCCTGTGCCAGGGTGACTGCCCTCGCAAAGAACACGGAGAGCGGGGGCAGGAGGTGTTTCCTTCATCTGGATTCAAGTCGGGGAGGTTTAGGTGATGTCCCCACGGAGGGACGCCTGTGCCCACTGGTCCGGCTACTCCTGCAGGGGCGGGAGCTTGCCGCTCACCGCTGGGTGGCAGGCAGCTGCGGGGGTCTTCCCTTCGCTGAGGTCGGCCAGGTAGCCCCAAGTCTTGTCTCTCAGGGTTGGCCGGTCTGTGGCGCTGGCTGGAGGGGGCAGCCTCTTCCGCCTGCTCTCCTCGGCCTCCTCCTGTAAAATCCGGCTCACGATCTCCTGCTTCCTGAGCTTCTGCTCCTCCTCAAAGGCCCTGGGGACACACAGTCGGCTGAGGGCAGGGTCTGCGGCCTCCGAGCCCTGGAGCTGGGCAGCCACTCCGCTGGCTGGGCCCTCCCGGGCCCTTCCCAGCACGGATCCCTCACCCCCACCCTGCTCCTGGGTGCCTGGGACTTGCACCTCCACCCAGTCCAGTCCCCACA